GCGCACTGATGACACAAGACCCCTTGCTTAGCTACTGAACTGTGCACGTTCAGTCATGCAGCTGGAGCAGCGGCAGAATCCTAACACCCTCCCCAAAGCCTAGAGAGAGAGGCTTTCCTGCAGACAACTGGATTTCCAACCCACAGAACAGTAAATAAATTTGTGTTGTTTGGGGCTGGCTCTTGTGGTGCGCACCTTTAATCCCAGGACTTTAGTCAAGGCCAGACAGGTCTACATAGAGAGTTCCAGGTTAGCCAGAACTGTGCAGTGAGACTCTGTCTTGAAAAAAAAAATGTGTTGTTTTAAGATGTTAAGTTTGTGATAATGTGTTAAGCCAGCCAAGAGAAAACTGACACAACACCCATCTCTTAACTAGGGGAAGACTTTGATTGGCAGACCTACCAAGGCTATAATCCTGAAAAGCAGGCAGGATCCTATGACAATCAGGTGGCATTAGCAAGTAAAGGAAAAGAGGCTGTGACAACGAAATGTCATCAGGTCTGGAAATCAGCTGCACATGGATGCTGGGACCCAACAATTGATTAGGGAAGATGAAGGAGAAAGGGGGCTGGAGAAGGGAACTCAGTGCAGTGCTTACACATACTGAGAGGCACACAGACACACAATAGAAGTACACCTGCAGTTTAAAAATCCCACGCTTTGTCAAAAGGAAAACAGGGAAACTAGAAAAGGAGTGGTTCTCAGTAAAGATAAAGCTAGCTCAGCTAAACGCCTCAGCACCTAATCACACACACACCTGCTGCACAACAGGTTCAGGAGTCACCGATTTAGCCTCATCAGGGAAGCATCGAGAACCATCTTTGTGCAGGATGATGTTTAACAGAGACTCATAACTGGTCAAAGTGCAGAGAATAACTATCTGGGGAGTGCTCAGCCATAAATGCAACGTCTATATCACATACCCTCCCCTAAGACTCATAAGACTGGGCAGAGTGATTCTAAGGGTCAAAGGTTGGGGAGGGTTGAGGGTAAACAATGTCTTCTGGACATGACAGGGTCACTGTGATCATGAACTCACAGCAGCTATGGTTGCCTGCCCAAGATCAAGCCAGTCCACATTCCAGCATGGATGGAGGAGGGGCGTGTGTGTGTGTGTGTGTGTGTGTGTGTGTGTGTGTGTGTGTGTGTGTCCGTCCACTGAAGAGCTTGACGGCTAGTGGGGGAGGAAAAGTCAGTTTTCTTTCGAAGTCCAACTTGGAGAGACAGTTCAGTAAGCTCCCTTGCAGGTGCACGGGTGACCCCAAAACAGTTGATTGGATGATGACATCCCATAGCTGCATCAGACGAGACCCCTTCTTGGTTGACTTTACCTGGTCTGTGTGCTCTAAGACCTCCTGAGGTAACATTCAGCTTAGGCAGAATTTCATGCAACCAAAAGGGGAATGTGGGAAGGTGTGGCTGGTATCTCAGGTGCAGGCAAAAAATCCTCTGTAACATGAATCTTAAAAGGTCTTATTAATAAAAACACTCAGGAGCCAGATATTGGGGTGAATGCTGAGAGATCACAGAAGCAGAACAAGCCACAGCTAAGCTCACCTTGCCAACTTCTTAGTGGATGCTGTTTCCTGAAACTGGAAGTCTCTGAGTCCCCATCCGAATGGATCTCAGCTGAACTGCTACTGAAAAGCCTAAAAGATTAAAAGCCTCTAGTTCCTGGTCCTCACGCCTTATATATACTTTTCTGCTTCCTGCCATCACCTCCTGGGATTAAAGGCATGTGTCTTTTCCAAGCAAGACATGAGATCTCAAGTGCTGGGATTAAAGGTGTGTGTCATCATGTCTGGCTGTTTCCAGTGTGGCTTTGAACTCACAGAGAGCCGGATGGATCTCTGCCTCTGGAATGGTAGGATTAAAGGTGTGTGCTACCACTGCCTAATGTCTATGTTTAATATAGTGACTGTTCTGTTCTCTGACCCCCAGATAAGTTTATTGGGGTGCACAATATATCAACCACAGTCCTTCCTACCCCCTCTATGAGGTAATGTCAACTGACCTCAGCTTGAGGGGCCTGACAAGTAGTCACAGCTGCTCTGGTAAAGATGTAATAGCCGCTTTGCTCTAGGACAGCATTCTGCATCAACCCCTTCCTCCAGTTCCTACAACCTCTCTGCGTGTTCTTCCACAGCGGCTCCTGAGCTTGGATGGGCTGACATAGACAACTGGTGATTTCCTCCTGATCATTGCACTGTGCTCTGACAACAGTCACACCAGCAGCTTGACAAACGTAAACATCGACAGTGACAGTCACTGAAGGGGGTGCTGGTGACATCGACACACTGCCTGCTTGAGCAGGTGTGGTAGCAAGGCAATCTGACAGGAGCATCCTATCTGTTTAACAACAGTGGCAGCTTCTCCACCGGGGCTAAGACCTCACCAGCCACAGGTTTTCCCATGAGAAACAATGATTCTCACTTCATGATGAGAGTCAGGGGGCTCCGATTACTGAAAACCATGCAGTTTATTTTGCAGATTTGCAAAACTGTGAGTCAGCCTTGAAGGGCAGGCACACTGAGTGTGGAGACCAGCTTACAACCTGTAACATGTAAGGAATCTTCCTTTGTGAATAGTAATGAAGGCACAATCTTACAAGCCATCCTGGTCTGTATTCTGGGTCTTTTACTCAACAAAAACCACACATGGATTCATCTCTATGGTTTCATCCCATTTCAAGCATGTTAGGGTCATGCCCTTGCAGGCAAGCCTGGCTGTTACTGCTTTTCTACTCTATAAACCTGTAGTTTGTGTGTGTGTGTGTGTGTGTGTGGGTAGCTTATAGAGTTGGAAAAGGCTGCTAAACTAACAGGTATTAGCAGGGATCTATTTTCTGTTCATTTGTAACTGGGTCTAAGCTGCCTCAAGGCCTCTTTGAACATAAACCATCAAATTCCTCTGCTGTGGGATGTTCTGTATGCTGTGAATGTGTTGCTCTGATTGGTTGATAAATAAAAAGCTGATTGGCCAGTACTATAGGAAGTATAGGCGGGATAAGAAGAGAGGAGAATTCTGGGAAGAGGAAAGCTGAGTCAGCAAACGCCAGCCTGCCGTCCAGGGAGCAGCATGTAATGGCACACAGGTAAAGCCATGGAACACGTGGCAACATATAGATGAACAGAAATGGGCTGAGTTTAAGTGTCAGAGCTAGTCAGTGGTAGGCCTGAGCATTATAATGGCCCAGGAGTTTTAATTAATATAAGCTTCTGATGGATGATTTTATAAGCGGCTGCGGGGTCCGTGGGACTGGGCAGGACCCGAGAAGACTTCAGCCACATTCCTCTTCATGACCTTACAGCCAATGGGCAAGTTGCTGGACGCATCTGGAACAGCCTGTGCCACTGTTGTGCCAGCACATCCTGCCTGGCATACTGATAGCATGCCACGAAGAGCCCCCAGCCTAGCCTGGGGTGACAACTGTCCTGTGGCAGCCTGCACAGTGCCTTCCTAGCACTACAAAAGCCAGCTAGTTGAGGACACCCTCTCCCACGCCCCGCCTCAGTCCCTGTTTGATTTTTTTGTGTCCTGCAACCACACCACACAGTCTTCAATAACAGGGTCTTAAAGTTTAGTTCTGGCATGCACTGGACAGCAGTGATAACTGTCTCTGTTTTTGGTGGCCAGGAACCCCTCAGAACATAGAACACCCTGACAAGCACTCCCTGGAAGGCTGCGCACCCCGGCAAGGTGATTCTGAATTAATAACCGAGGGTTTCAAAGAGAAGGTTCTTCCATCCACATAGGTCTTTGTGTTTTCTAATTATACACCACTGGTGGGAGTGTCCTTAACAACTTCCTTATGCTCTGAGAGAGTCCTGTCTAGAAAACGTTCTTAGTCACTGTTCCATTGCTGTGAAGGGACACTGTGACCAAGGCAACTTATAAAAGAAAGCATTTAATTGGGGGCTTGCTTACTGTTTCAGAGGGTGAGTCCATGACCATCATGGTGGGGGCATGGTGTTGGAGCAGTAGCTGAGATCTCACATCTCACCCACAAATGGGAGGCAGAGAGCTGGGGAACTGGACCTGGCATGGGCTTTTTGAAACCTCAAGGACCACCCACAGCGATACACCTGCCCAACAAGGTCACACCTCCTAATCCTAAGCAGTTCATCAACTGGGGAGCAAACATTCAAATAAATCTGTTTATGAGGGCCATTCTCATTCGAACAACCACAAGAAAACAAAACAGGGTTGGGGATATGGGTAAGGTCATCAGGCACTGCTCAGTTGTTTACTGTTGTTGGGTTTTAAGGAGATGCTCAGACTGAACCGGCTGCCTTACCCAGACAGGGACACTGGGAAGCCTTGAAAGTGAGCTTCTTCAACTGTTCTCACCCTAGCCATGTATTAAAAACGGAGGCTTAAAATGTGCAAAAGAATCCCAGCACTCGTGAGGCAGAGGCAGGTGGATCTCTGAATTCCAGGCCAGGCCAGCCTGGTCTACAGAGTTCCAGGACAGCCAGGGCTGTTACACGGAGAAATCATGTCTTAAAAAACAAAAAACAAACAAACAAAGAAAAAAAACCCACACAACCAAAAAACCCCAAACCTAACCAAGACAAAACAAACAAACAAAACCGTGCGAACAATACCAGTGTTCAGAGTCAGAACTCAGGACTGTGCACCCCAATAACCAATGACTGGTAAATGCTGCCAGTTAAGAATTCGGAGGCAGAGGCCGGAGGGGCTCCATGAGTTCGAGGCCAGCCTGGTCCACACAGTGAGCTCCAGGCCAGCCTGGACTGCATAGTGAGACCTGTCCTGAAAGACAAAATCCTGCTTCGCGGCTACCTCGGAGGTCACCCGTTTGCAGAGTGCGGGCGAGGGGGCGAGGAGGCGATGGCTCCAGCCTGGAGGCCTGAGCGCACGGTTGCCTGCACAGGGCGGGGAGCCGGCGGAGGAGGGCGGCGCCGCGGGGCTGGACCTGGGCTGCAGCTCCGCCGGAAGTGCCCGCCCGCCGGGACATCTTCGGCGGAGAACGCGCCCGCGCGGCGACCGGACCTGGCGCTCGCAGCTCCGCAGCCCCGCAGCCCCGCAGCCCCGCAGCCCCGCAGCCGCAGCCGCAGCCGCAGCCCCGCACCTTGGCAGGTGAGCGCCGCGCCTCTCCCGCGGAATGCAATGCGCGTCGCCGCTGCTCTCGCCTCCTCCTCCTCGCTCTCGTTCACCTCCTCCTCCACTGCTTCGCCGCCTTCTCTGTCTCTCCCTCCTTCTCTGTCCTCCTCCGGTCTTTCCCCTCCTCTCTTAATCTCCCCCTCCTCCCTCCCCGGCAAACCCTGCAAGTGGTCCCCGAGTCCCCGGGCCCGGGTCGCCAGCCACAGGCAGCTGTAGCCGGCTTTCTGGGATGCTCCTTGCCAGGGTGGAACTACCGAGCAACTTTTGCTCTGTTCTGGAAACACTCGCTGGGGTTTTGATACTCTTTTCTGCACCGTATTTTAAAAACGTTAACGATTACTTTAAAAATGTAAGACAAGATTGGGAAACACTCCCAGTTTTGATGAGTTCTTTCTAGCAATTTAAGAGTGGTGAGGTTGGGGACGTTACTATGGGATAACCATTTCCAGGTATTGCATCTCCAAGGGTTTTGTTTTGTTTTTTTTTTTTTTTTTTTTAAATTTTAACTTTCAAGGTTTGAGGCTTTCTTTGTCTAGTTAGAGGTCTCAGGGAACTATACATATGTATTTTTTTTAACGTTCTTTAGAAGTGGAGTAAAGTGCACACCAGTTTGATGAACTGCTCAGAAGTGTTGGAATGACTGGCCACGAGTGAATGAATGGCCATCAGCTTGGGTCAGATTTGACGGTTGTATTTCTGAAGGTGAGGGCTGGAGGCCAGGGAATCCACAGCAGTTCTGTTGGGTGTTAGGACTTTGCAGCTCCTGCTGTTCATCTTAGAGAGCAGTTCAACCCAGTCCTTGCTATTGGCAAGAATCATTTTCCCTTGTAATTAGAAAACAGTAGTCGGTAGACTCCTGAGACTCTTGTCAGGGTAGACACTCCTGAAAGTGCTAGTGGACAGTAAGTTGTAAGAAATGTAAAGAAAATATGTTGGTTTTTAGACCTAATTCTCCATCTTAGGGAACCATCATTGCATTTTGCACATTTAAATGAATGAGTTTTGTACAGAAATGTTGCTTCCAGGGGAGTGTGTGTGTGTGTGTGTGTGTGTGTGTGTGTGTGTGTGTGTGTGATGTGGGGGTGGTGGTGATGAGACACAGGACCTATTCTGGCCGTTAGGCCTTGAAATTCGTCTGCTTTGTAATTACTGTCGACAAGTCTGGCTATTGGTGGGGGATGGGAAGGGTTTACATTTGTTTGTTCTTTAGGGGTAGGACACAAAGAGCAGGGAGCTCTGTCTGTGTGTTTCCATGGTCACCTCCAGCCGGAAGGCCTGCCAATGTCCTGTGAAAGTGCAAAAGCAGTAAGGGACAGGGCCCTGGAACAAGGCCTCTGTGGAGCAGTTGAAGGCTGGGGAAAGGGGGCTTTCAGGAAGCCTGGGCCTGGGGAGCAGCCCTGCTCCTGAGAATCCTGGAGTGCTGAAGGGAAAGGAGGAAGGTTGTGAGCAATATGCTTTTCCCTCGAATTTCTTCACATGGTTGTCTTTTTTTTTCTTTAAAAAAAAAAAAAAGATTCCTTTACTTTAAGACCTAACGTGAAAAATAACATCCATAATTTCTTTTTTAAAGCATTTCTTTTTTGGGAAAAGAAAAAAAAATAAAGGTAGGAGGTATGGCCTTAAAATGCCTTTACTTTCCTACTGGAGAAGTGGCTAGGGGTGTCTGGAAAGTGTGAGCGCAGTAGTTCATTCCCCACCATGAAAAAGCCAGGTGTGATGATATGCCCTGTAACCCTAACTGGGTGGACAGGACAGAGGCCTCTGGAGTCTCTGACCAGCTAGTCCAGTGGATCAATGAAAGGCCCTGGCTCAAATAGTGAGGTGGTGATCCACAGAGGGAGATGCTGGATATGGAGGGTCACCCCCCTGTAACATGAATCTTAAAGGGTCTTAATAATAATAATAATAAAAAAACCCTCAGTGCCAGCTATTGGTGTATGTAGATTCTGAAAGATCAGAGAAACAGAACAAGCCACAGCCAACCTCACCTCACCAATTCCTTGGCTGATCTTGTTTCCTCAAACTGGAAGCCTCTGTGTCCTCATCCAGGACAGCTGAACTGCTGCTAAAAGCTTAACAAGGTCTAAAATGCCTCTACTTCCTGGTTCTCACGCCTTATATACCTTTCCATTTCCTGCCATCACTTCCTGGGATTAAAGGCGTGTGTCTTTTTCCCAAGCAATACATGAGGTCTCAAGCCCTGGGATTAAAGTTGTGTGTCACCATGCCTGGCTTCTACGTCTATCTAGTGGCTGTTCTGCTCTCTGACCCCAGATAAGTTTATTAGGGTGCACACTATATTGGGGGACACACTATCACCACACCCCCCTCACGTGGGAACACATCAACATATAAACAAGCATGCATAGCACACACACATAGGCTTTAGCTTTAATCTTAGAAACCGCAAGAGGTATTGAACACTTTAAAAATTCTTTGACAGTTTCACACCTAAAAACATTCTCACAGGATCCTAGGCAAGTTTGCTTTCCAGGCCTTTTAAGTTACTGGTGGGATTGGTTGGGGGAGGACTTGGCTTGAAGTTTTTGGGCGTTCCCGATTCCCCAAAGTGACTTTCTTGGCTCTGTCGGGTGTTGCAGAAATAGGAGGGAGCCTGACCGAGATCTGAGTGCCTGGCACAGATGCACACACCAAGACAAGGACAGTTGCTTATGTCGAAGTCTGCTCATTTCCAAAGCGGCATCCCCCTGCATGTGTTTCTGCTTCTATGTAAATAACATACATATACTAATGACCCTCCTGTTATTTCCGAAGCCTCAGTTTTCACTTTTAGCTGCTGTTGCTGTAATATCAGTGGAGGTAAGAACCGTGCTTCAAATCTTTCACTTAGTTTGTGACCAGTTTCCTGTCGGGTCTGCTTATATCCTGAGGGTCTTTCCTTGGTGTGTGGCTCATGTTCAGGGCTTGTGCCTTGCCGACCTATTTTTGTGTTGCTTATGTAAGTTTCATTTGTGCCTTTTATGTCCATCCTGAATGCTTGCTATCCCTTGTAAGGGTTCCTGGAGTTAAAATCCGCCCATGTACCCCACTGTGCATGGGCCAACGAGATAGTTGGAAAGATAACACTGTCCAACCTCCCACCCTCTCAGGCTTGTCGGTGACTCTGACAGAGGGGCCTGTAGGGGATACAGGCTTGTGCTCCCCACTTGTACTAATACTGTCAGTACTTTATGATCTTGTAATACAGTTGGTGGGAAGTAATGAAGTGTGAATGCTTCACGTACTCTGTGTGCTTGTATAATGCCGTGCTCAAAAATGCATCACTCCACCGAGGCTAGGTGAGAATGAGTGATTTTTTTCCCTAGCTCAGTACCGCATCGCCCACACCCCCTGGGATGAAGTGTCCCAAAGTAGACAGCTGGTCTTCTGCTTAGACAGTTCTCTCATCCAGTCCCTATGAGGCATTGGTGGCACGCTCCGCTTGCCTTCCTTCTGTGGCTAAACCTTCCCTTGAAGGTGAATGTTTCCTTGATGTTCTCTTTAGGTTTCACAACTGCCTCAGGCAACAGTCACCATGTGAACTGGTTAGTGTTTCGTCAATTTGGTCAAACTAGGGTCACCTGGGAAGAGGGAACCTTCGTCCAAGATTTGCCTCCATCAGATTGACTTGTGGGCATGTCTGTGGTGCATTTTCTCGATTCAAGGTTGATGTGGGAAGGCCCTGCCCACTGTGGGTGGTGCCGTCCCTGGGCAGGTGGTCCTGTATGGTATTAGGAAGCAGGCTGAGCAAGCCTCTGTTCCTGCCCTCAAGTGTTCTTGCCCTGACTTCCCGCAGTGATGTGGGAAGTATTCAAGTCAAGTAGACCTGTTCCTCCCTGAGTCGTTTTTGGTTTCGATGTTTGTCAGAGCCACAGAAAGCACACTAGGACACCAGGGTTGTCCTTACAGAGTGGCCTGCAGGTTCCAATAGAAATAGGCTCTCTCCATTACCAGACTAAGATGGCAAAATCTCCTGTGTCTCTTTGGAGACCTTCCTCTACTGCCTTGTTCTTCGGGTGTACACGTAGCATTAAACATGGAAGGTGTAAAATGCTACGAAATGTGACTCTGAGACTCACTAGTCACAATCTTACCTCTTTCTCACATTGTATTTATTTTCACCATTTTGCTTTTGTATTAAAACTATATTCATTGAAGAAAAGTGAAATTAGAATAATGGGGAAATAATTCATAAAGCTTATTGGTGTCCTGCTTTTATGCATCCCCCATGTATAGTGCAGGGAAACATCCTCATGCACTGTATAGTTTGAAGTCGTTTTTATCTTCCAGCAGAATCAGAAACGTACTACATTGGCTGCTCTGTAACTTCTCACTCTACAGTTGGCACACTGATGGTTTTGTTTTATAGGTTGGCTTTATAGTTTGTATACTGATGGTTTTGTTTTATAGGTTCACTCTACAGTTGGTACACTGATGATTTTGTTTTATAGGTTGGCTTTGTAGTTGGTACACTGATTTTGTTTTATAGGTTTGCTCTATAGTTTGTATACTGATGATTTTGTTTTTTAGGTTAACACTATGATTTTGCTCTTGCTAGTGATTCTCTGAGTTGGTTGGCTCAGCTAGGTGATTCTTCTCCACACAATACTGGCCAGGGCTATAGTCCTTGGGAAACTCAGTTTGGGAGGCTGAGACTTCAAGATGGTTCATTAGCTGTTACCAATTTTTAAAAATTGTTGTCTTGCTGATTTCTTAGCAGGGACAGGATTTTACTACCCTAGTCAAATAATTGATTGGTCTAATTTTCCTGGCAGCAGAATTGGAGAGCTGGTGTTTACCATCTGCTCCTCTCTGTTGCTGGTATTGAGGCAGCAGACAGGTTATTCCTTACACGCCCCCCCCCCCCCACTCATCCCCCACATCCCCCCACCGCTGCCCATGTCCTTTCTGCGTCCCTTTTGCCGGGTTCCGCAGTGACAAGGCTGCTCTGGGTTCATTCTGTTGAACACATTAGC